CCAAGGGTTCTCTCTCCCTCTCCCTGCCCCCCACTCCACAAACACTGTTTTAAAAAACCCAATTTAGCCAACTGAAAGCTGGGAAACTATTATAACCAACCCCGCTTCCCTTAATAGCTACTAAAAGTACATTCCACAGAAATTATTTTCCTAGACCAGCTCTAGTTACTGATACAGTTTCCAGGAACTGCTGAAATGACTCTGAATTCCTTGAATACTCCCTGTCAGCCAAGGATGGAAATCACTTTGGACCTATTGCTGTGCTTTACAGGAGTCAGCTGACATATTTTTAATGCCCGTCAGATGGATTGTTGATGTTTCTTAGAGCCAGGAGTTGTTGTTTTTTGTAGAATTCTTTCTATCCAATCAAAACAAAAAAACAAAAAACAAAGCAGAGACTTGAGAAACATTTAAATTCTTAAGTGCCTTATTGATGATTTGGAAATGTAAGCTGATGATGGCAAAGAGAAAGCTTCTGGTATAGATATGTCATGGCTCTGATTAAAACAAAAGCAAAATTGAAAACTTTTCTATCCTTATAAGTATAGTATAAAAATAAATGTTGTGGTTCGCCAGCTGCCAGTGCAGATGGCGGCAGAATCAGACAGTGAGGAAGAAAGGGGCCTAGTCAGGGAGTCTGGAGAGGACTTGGGCGAGGGTTCTGCGTCCGATGAAGGAATGGGGCCAGGACCATCTGGGAGTGGGAGGCTGCCTTTGGAGCCTTCAGAGTCTGGCAGCAGCGAAGCAGAGGACCCCAGGGAGCCTGTTCCCAGTGTGCGTGCGCGCAGAGCTGCTAGAAGGTGAGAGCAGCTGAAACAGAAGGGGCGACTTGAGAGTAAGGCTGGGCGGTGATTGCCCCTCCCATAAGGGATAAAAGTCAGAACTCAATTATGAAATCTTTGCAGGAAGCAAAGTAGTTCGTTAGATTCTGAGTCCTCCCTGAAGCTCTGTCTACTCTGGTTGTTTTTTTTCTGGTACTTCGGTTGGTTTCTGTTATGATTAATTGGATACTTTTGCTTTTGGCAGCATTCCACAGCACTGAAAGGCGTGTACTTATCTTGGGGAGCTGTTTAAGATTAGTTCTGGCTGGGAATGAAAACAATTCCCAGCGTTGCAATAAAATAGACTTTGCTTTTGAAACAAGTTTGATATTAATTACATTTGATGAAGCCTGGGTCAGAACAATAAATGCCCATTGGATGGGGTGTAGTTTGCACGGAAAAATGTCAGATTTCATCAACAGCAAAGGATGAAAAAATATCTCCCAAAGATCAAAATAATACTTAGGGAAGGGGTGCTCTTGGTGATCCCTGCCTCTGCTACCAGGTTCCCCCCACAAATGAGACCCCCATGCATCCAAACACACAAAAGACATGGAGTCATAGACATAAGTCACACTGATAAATCATCACACAATTAACTTGGAACACCCCATAAGCATCTTCATAACTTCCATTCCACATGGGGAAAGTTGTTTGAAACTCTCCTACTCCTTTGAAAGTTAGCATGAATCAGTTCCAAACAACATAATTGCTGCATATGCTTTCAAATTAAGATACTTTTCTTAAAATCATTAAAACAATTCATGTTAAAGTAGCATTTGTCTTACAATAGCAACAGCAGATTCCTTAAACTATTCCCAGTCTTTTCAATTATAACAACTGGCAACTTTCTTAAACAACTTTTTGGGGCACCTTCCTACCATATTATTAAGAATCTCTAAAACAGAGTTCTTGACTTATGTGTCTGTCCTCCTTAAAAAAGTTCCCCTCAAGTCCAAATTGACTTTTGGTGATATAAGTTTTCTTTGTATTGCCGTTTGACATTGCTTTCTTTTGGTTTTTTTTTCAACATCTTAATCTCACCTAAGGATTTCCAGGCAGTTGCTATACAAGTTCTAACCCAGGTTAGCTTCTGAGCTCACCCTAAGTTGGCTATGGCTAGCACTTCCTGAGGCCTGTCCTCTCTTCCATGTCTTCTGTCTCCTTTGACCCTCACACTATCTGTTCGCCAAATATAGATATTAGAAAGAGTCATGATTTAAATTCCTCTTACGTCAGTTCCCTGTAACCCCTCAAGTTTTAGAGTGGCACATCACATAGATATAAATACCTCATCCACTGATGATTAAGGAAGCTTCCTAGGTTGCATTCATAGAATGCATCAACGCATTCTAAAAAGCTGACAACCACATCAGTGACATAGAACGGAAGGGAAAGTCATGTTCCATCTGAGCTTTAGATAAGACCTAAACCCTCTACAGAGTATGCAACTGAAGCACTCCCTAAACTGTCCCTATTAAGTTGTGGATGAAAGTTCTCCCGTACTCTTTGTAAAATCATGTTCCATGAAGGAATGTGAGACTTTGCCTATTTTTTGGAGGGCTGGTAAGCTAAGTGGAGAAAGATCTGAAATACTTCCACTCTGAATCAACTGCCAACTTGCCATCATTCCTAAGCCAATGGGGAAACTCAAAGAGGTATATAGTAGGGGAGGAAAAGAAACTGGGGACTGATTTAATCTGTCTTTCTTGAATTCATGGGTAAACCGAAACATAACGACTTCCTGATATAATGCCTTACAATATGTAACAGGGAAGGATATACAAACACTAAGGACATTAGTTAAAGTAACATACAAAAATACATATTAAAATAACTTGCAAAAGTAAATTGCAGTTCTATAGGTAGAACTGCATACAATAACATGCATATTGGAAATAACCTAAAAATATATAAGGATTTGTCTCCCAATAACCTGCCAAATAGTGTCTAAATGTAAAAGAATTTAATTTAAATTTAAAAATGGGGGGAACCATGAATCCAATGGGTGTGTCTATGTATAGAGAGAGGCAAATCAAAAGGATAAATATAGAGTACAGGTAATCCTTGACTTACAATCATTTGTTTACTGACCATTTGAAATTACAACGGTGCAGCATGAAGGGACTTAACCTTCAGTTAGAACTGCTGCACTGCTCCTCCAGTTGCATAAAAAACATTCGGGTGCTTGGTGTGGGAAGCAGGTACCTCAGGGGGTGAAGGAGACCCTGGGAGACCCAGGCAGCTCATATATAAGCTCGGGAAGTGCTGCAATACAGCCTGCACCGAGCCTGCCAAACCCAAGGCACCCTGTGGTCTGCTTAATGACCGCAGTGGAGAGAGAAGGGTGGTGATCATTAAATGAGGTGATCACCCAGGCACTTTGCTTAATGATCACCATGACTTACAACCATAAATCTGGGCTTAATTGTTGTCATAAGTCAAGGACTGCCTGTAGTGAAATTTACATAGGAATCTAATGAGAGTGACATAATGTCCAAACAATTTAAATAATAAAGAGTTCTAGCGTACACAGATCTAGACTCCTACTTGAAAAATATTAGGGTAGCCTATTGTCATGAATAAATGTTTATCTTCCTGACTCATTATCTATCCACTGCAACAGAATAAACACATCAGGGCAGAGTGGAAGAGAACACTTGAAAGATGATATGGGGAAGGCATTCCATCAGGATGTAACTGATCTCCCGTAAACAAGAATATAAACAATTTGGAAAAACAAAGAGTCTAGTTCTCATGGAGAACATTTTATGTTTGGATTTTTCAAACTGGGAGGGGCTGTAACATGAATGGAGGCTCCTTCAGGTACAACATTTTTCCTAAACATAAAACAAGCAGGTGTTTTTCAGCCTTAGCAATTTAAGAGCTTGGCCACCTAGCATGCTGGCTAGGGAAATCTGGGAATTGTAGTCCATCCCTCTTAAAGTTGCCAAGGTTGAGAAACACTGCCCTTATTTTTCCCCCCTACTTGATTACATTTGGCAACCCCAATATTAAAGAGCCAACATTCAAAGCATAATAGCTATTACTAAATAATCATTTTTAGACAGATCAGTGTTTTTTCTACACTATATGGGTTCTCTTTGTTCAGTGGGGCTTAGCTCAGATCATCAGGTGGGCTGTTGTCTTTCCATTTTAACTTTGAGCCCAAGATAGGAGATACAGGTGACATAACCAGTAACTTCAGAAGATCCCCAGAGTAGGCAGGGCCTAGTTCTGGGGTTATGAGGAACAGAAGTGAGTTTTAAGGAGCGAAAGGTGTGTTATCGCCTTTGCAGAATTATGATCTCAATTAGGGGAAACCCTAAGGATTTACAACTTGAAAATTTTTAAAGTGTAAAGTGCCTACAAGGCTTCAGATAGCAATTCTGCCCCTTAAAACATAGTGCCATTCCAACCCAAACATCAACCCCCAAATGTTGGGTTTGTCCATTCTTCTACTAAAGGGATATTGAGGGCTCAATGTAATCCATAGGCTTTTGCTAGAAGGAGTTAACTGGGGGAAAAATCTAAACAGATAAAAACAAACAAAATCATTTCATAAGCTTGAACATTCCTATATCTGCTAATCTGGTTTAAGCATACTGAACTGAACAGGATCCACTCTTGGACAATATTATAACTATGTAATATAGTTGCAATGCTGACATACCCGAGCTGGAGTTCTTATTGAACTTTGCCCCAAAAGACATATACTTTGAAGGTAATTTAAAACTGACGTCTGGGACAGAACTGCCTTCCTGAAAAACCATCACATTAGAAAACAAGTCTTCATGTCTTGGCCAGTCAACAACCCCTTTATTTTAGCTACTTAGTTTCTGTTTATTTTGCCCAGGATACTCATGGGAATAATTACTGAAAACGTGAATGTACTATGTACATCAAGAAGAATTGTTGGAAAAGAAGCCAAGGGGAGGAACAACTAATAATATTATTTGCTTCTTTAAATGTACAGCTGTGTTGATAGCACACTTGTCCCCTGAAGTCACAGTTGTTGGTCCTGACTCCTGAGTAATTATATAGCAGCTTTCACCAGAATTGCTCACCGATAGGTTGAATGCACAATGCCCACTACTGTACTCTGTAAAAATTGGTGCTGGGAAGGTGCAGAACAGGTTAAACAAACTGGTTGAAAATGTCAAGGAAATGAAAACTTACCATCCTCAATTACGATTTTGATAAGACGGATTGAACCATTCCGAGCCTTTGCAAAAAAGTCCTTTAATTCCGTAGTGGCTAAAAGAATCAGAAACATGCTGATCAGAATTTGAATCCCCAAGTTATTCCACTCTCTGACACAATAAAGGAAACAGCAAAAAAGAGGGGGAAGACCCGAGAGACACCCAAAAGAAAAAGACTAGTACAATGAAAAAAAAAAAGGGAGCAGATTTCTAGTTCTGATCAAGGCTGTCTGGAGTAGTATGCATTTCACTTTCACAGAGGTTTCAGAGTTAAATACCAGCTGGAAGCACATGTGATCCAGAGAACTTGATACTTGGCTGGGGCAAACATAATATCCCAAATTTAGCAATCCGTTGGCTTCAAAATGTAAGGTGGGCTCAAGTGACAGTTTATTAAATGTACAGCATATCCTGCTGTGCAGACCAGACAGGCTGAGAGAGCGGCTGGAAAATGGGATGAAGATGGGTAGGAAAAACCCCTCTGATTTTACTCCTGTGACAGATATATTTTGCCTTTGACATCACTCCATCCCAGGCTGGGCAGGTTCCCTTTTTTTAATAAAAAGTTTTTTATTTTTACAACAAAAACAAAAAATAAAGCCATCTTTCAGTTATACAGTGTGTCGACTGGATACATATATCTTGTGCACATATTAATATCGGCTGGGCAGATTCCTGAGGAAAAATATTTACATAGGAATCAGAACTGGAGAGACTCTGGCATTTGTCTTCTGGCTTTCTGATGTGGATCCTTCAAGGATAGTTTTTATGACCTTGAAAGTATGGTAGCTGGTAAGGTTTCCAGTGCTGCCAAATTTAAACAACAACAAAGCACCCAATTTCCACAAAATCAATAACTAGTACTGCAGTTACTGAAGACAGCAGATAGCATTACCCTTCATACAAATAATTAAATGCATATGGATTTGATCACTTTGCTTGGGGATGATGTAATCCCAAATGTTCTGAATACATTTTACTGAAGATTGGCATGTCCAGATGAGTCAGAAGTTGACACGCATTGATCTCGTTTCACTGAGAGCCCAAATGCCGTAATAGGGAAAGTACAATATCACCAATGATTGGTTTCATTTTGTAATTAAAACAACTACAGTAATAAATACAGTGATTTGTGGCTTGCCTGTCAGAATTATTTTCACCTTTCCATTATTTTTAGTATAATCCTTCTCCCCCAAATACTATAACACTACTGTGCAAAAAATCATTATTTAAAACATCTGTTCTGTAGCCATACACTGGAAATAGGATCTCAAACTATACGGGTAGTCCTCAGCCCCAGAAAACACCCAGTTTCTCCACTTTAGAAAAGGAAGCAATTACAGTGTCATGGTTAGCGAACAGTTGCTCTGGAGAACTCATTAAGCCAGAGGTGGTATTCAGCAAGTTCTGACCAGTTCTGGAGAACCGGTAGCGGACATTTTGAGCAGTTGGGAGAACCGGCAAATACCACCTCTGACTGGAGATTTCACAATATCCTTCCCCTGCCAGACCCACCAAGTCACGCCCACAGAACCTGTAGTAAAAAAATTTTAATCCCACCACTGCACTAAGCGCATCTCAGGATCAATCCACACCAAAGCAGGATCTGTTCCATTGCATTTCCTCCCATTGGCATCAGAGAGCACATCAAACGCATGTGCTACGGCACAGATGTGCTGCAAGGAAAATTATTTCATCTCAAGACCCAGTGCGAACCAGCTGAATACTACCACTGCTTCTAACAAGCAAATTCAACGGGGAAGCCAGATTCACTTAACAATCCGGTTACTAACTTACCAACTGCAATGATTCACTTAATGCCTGTGGCAAGAAAGGTCCTAAAACTTACTTAAATGTCTTAAATGTCTTAGTTAGCAACATAAATTTTGGGCTGAATTGTGGTTGTAAGTCGAGGACTACCTGTAGTTTTTCCAGTTTGTTGTCCTAACCCCTCTTTGCTTAAAGGGAGATTTTATTTATTTGTTACTTCTTACACAACTCCACAACACCATTAAGACAATGAAACATATAAATAAGCCACCCTCCTTCCATTAGTCACAAGGATAAGGGCAATCAAGAACGTTTCCTCACTGCTTCTGGTCTTGAAAGAAAACACAGACCTGAGACCAGCTGTGCATGATAGGAGACTTTGGGGGAGGTAGAGAGTTTAGGACAAGTTGTAAAAAAGCAGCTACATCATGCATTAAAGGCCCTCTTAGTAGATCCCTGTCAAATAGCAACTACCGAAGTTAAACCAATGACTTACTCAGTCTAGCATCCTTCCAGCAAAACAGACCAAATAAGGAGAGAGAGAAAGAGAGAGAGAGAGAGAGAGAGAGAGAGAGAGAGAGAGAGAGAGAGA